CAACGAGGAAGGAGTCGAAATGAGCCACACGTGGAATGTGGATAACTTGCGTCGCTTTTACCCATAGTCATTTCGCCCCCAGAGGGTTGTAATTTTTATCTCTCTTCTTCGGCAATTCTATAAACATAAAAAATGGGATACGTACTCTTTTTCCTCATAGGGGAAACCTTCGCAAAAAGGTGAGGTTTTTTAATAAGGTGATCCTATGTACCCCCTTTAATTCAAGTTCAACTTTTCCCCATACAAGATCCAAAAAGTAAGACGTTGAAACAAAACCTGACCTCGGCAGGTCATGGATATCAACGATGGCGAACAGCAGAGCAGGTTGCATCGCTTTTCACTCATGCAAGACGTCACGAGCAAAGACTCAGCAACCCAAAAACTAGCCTAGAGGCTACAAAAACCTTTTGCATCACCAAAAAGGAGTGAGCGAAAAGGAAAATGCTGATAAGCCATAACAACATTTCGTCACACCAAAAAGGAGTGTGGATGAACGAAGAAAGCAAAAAAACTTAAAACCAATTCGCACCGCCAAAAAGGAGTGGTGACAAACGAAAAAGGCCTAAAGAGCCACAATATGCATGGCACCAAGGTTTGAAAACATAAGGGCGAAAAGACCCACCCGCAACATCATAAAAGAGCGGAAGTACTACCAGGAAGTGCATTCGCACATAGAAGCATGTACCCAAAGGACAATCAGAGTTAGGAAGGACACTTAACAACGAGCAGTGAATGGTGCCACCAACCACAACAACCAATATTAATGACTCTCGAACCCCGGAAACCCTATAAATATGACACCAGGGCTCCCCAGGAACCATATCAAGTATCAGTCCAGAGCATAAGCATTAGATTAGCCACCCAGGTTGATAAGGCTAGGAGAGAGCGCGTGAGGATTCTTCCAGTAGGAGAGAAATGAGTGGGCTTGAGAGAGTGTCGGGTTTTTGGCATTAGCCGAAGTAGCGAAGCCTCGTGTGTGGGATGGAAGGTTGCACAAGCTAAAGGCCGTAGTAGTGAGAGTCAAATGTTGTGAGAAAGCACATAAATATAAGGGCGCATACTGTCCAAAAGGAGCATGCGCCATGTATTCGCCCAGCACAGAGCTGAAAGATGAGGCAACAGGATGTGGTCGTGGCACAATGACAAGCAAGCATGAAGGGATGTTGCAAGAAAAAATGTAACATCCCCCCATATGGCAAAACAACAAAGCAAGGCCATGTACCTACACGAGACGGGATTCTTGCTGCAGCTCTACGCTGGGAAGCACGACATCACAACACCGCACTTCAATTTAGCTAATTCGCCTAGCAATAGTGCCGATTCACTCTGGCGAACTAACCAAACAAACTAGATGTTGTGAACCAAGAAGTAGAAGGAAAGATATCGATTGTACATATCTGCCAGTACACCTAGCCCCGAATCAAATGTAAAACAACCAAGATCGAAAAAGAAAAATGAAAATATATCAAGATGATGAATGGACCAGCAATCCCCTCGCCCTAAAGGTTGGGGGGGGGACGGCGTTTCTCCTTTTGCCTAAATGATATGCCGAGGGGCTACCAAAGAAGCCATCTCGAGAATTCACACCTTCACATATCCCGTCGCTCTAAAGGTTGGGGGGACGGTGTTTCTCTTCTCACCTAAATGATATGCCAAGGGGCTACCAAAGAAGCCATCTCGAGAATTCACGCCTTCACGTATCCCCTCACCCTAAAGGTTGAGGGGGACGACGTTTCTCTTCTCGCCTAAATGATATGCCGAGGGTCTAGCAAAGAAGCCATCTCAAGAATTCGCACCTTTACTTATCCCCTCGCTCTAAAGGGGGGCGATGTTTCTCTTTTTGCCTGAACGATATGCCGAGAGGCTAGCAAAGAAGCGCCTTGAACAGTCATGCATTCGCGTATCTTTCGCCCAAAATGGTTACAGGGAACGGCACCATCTCGCCTAAACATTATGATGAGGGGCTAGTAGAGAAGATGCATCAGACGCTCATGCTTTGGCATTTCTTTCACCCTAGCAGCTTGGAGAATGCCCCCCACTATCGCCCAACAAAAGGTCGGAGCAATACCACCTCCATAGGGTTGGGGGTGGCATAATCAAAACACAAGAAATTCACGGAGTACTCTAAAAAACAACCGATCAGTGAAAAGTGCACACATGGCAAAACAAACACACTACATACATGATCAACCGTACACAACAGCTCGCTAAGTGAGAATGCAAGCATCACACATTGTCTTCACATAGAAAACTACACTCCGTCCCTTCTAGGACGAAGATAAAAACTATATCGGCGGTTCTCCAAATCTATGGTCATCTCTTCGACCGGCTCCTCCTTGGGATCTTTCAGCTTAGAGGGCGAGGACTTCCCGCGATCATGCTAAGACTGTTCACGGCGAGTTTTTCGATCTTCCAAAATAGACGCGTCAAATTCTGAATAGAAGAACCTACAAAAAAACTCTTCTTTCCTAAGAAAGCATTGGAAGCGCGACCTCAAAAACCCAGTCATACTAGATCCTAGAAATCTCTCGCGGTGGCGAGACCAGGATGCGCCTCCAACATGAAAGCCATTGTAATTAATCAGAAGCGGATAGATCTCCATAGGTTGCGCAAGCTCCGCGTCTAGAACCTATGCACCAAAACCACAAGAGTTTAAGCCGTCTTACAACCAACATCCACACAAATGCAATGTCTCAAAAATTACAAACAAATCCAAGTTGTCTACACCATCTTGAGCAGCATCTTCGGTGGGAGCGCCAGTGCCATCATCAGCCAGGGTCTCTATGACAGGGGTCGACGACGCAGCCATTTCACCTGAGCTGCTACCAGCCGCACCCTCACGGGCATTCTGCTCAGCAATGTACCTTTTCACCTTCTCCTTTATAGCCGCGCACTCCTCGATAGACTGCAAGGCGGGTTTCAGAGGCACATGAGCATCCTTTTGCAACGCATTATGGAGCGACAAACAAAGCAAAAAAGGAAATAAGTCACCTTGCCACGACTCATGGCAGCCCAAAGGAGAGCAAGATCGTGGCCTCCAAGATGCCAGAACTCTTTGAAGAACCTTTGTCCTGCCTCATGAGAGCGACTAGGAGCGTTCCAGTAAGTCTGAGGGTCCTTGATCTCAAATTTTTCGAGATGACCGCACCCGCACTCCTCCAAGGCTTGAGCAAAGGCACGAAACGAAACAAAAGAGGCATGCTCCCACCCGATGGTGCTCACGATGGCCAGCTCATTCGCCAGCCACTCCATGAAATCAACAACAAGAGCATCATAGGGAGCTTCCTACTCTTCACCTACGCTCTCAATGAGATCCTTGTACATGTTTTTCGCCCTCTGGGCGCTAGCAACAAGCTTGTTCCACTCTTCGAGCTTCCTCTTCTGGTACCCCTCGAAGTCCTAGCGCATCTTTTCAACCTGCTCCTCTACAGTCTTGCGGTGGATGCATTCTTTTTAGCCAACTCCTTGGCTACCTCTAGCTCCTTCTCGAGAGCCCAAATCCTTCTATCCTTGGCTGCAAGATCTTTCTCTAGGCCTTGGCAAAAAGCATGCCCTTGATGCTAAAGATCCAGAGCTAGGAGCATAGCCTGCGAAAATCGAGCACGCCTCATCAAATGGTCACGAGGAGGAAAGCAAACGGCAAAAGCGAATGCAGATAAAGACAAAACCACTTACACTAGCAGCGTGGAAGTTCACAGCATCTATAAGGAACGAATTAGGAACTTTCAAAAGGTCCCTCTCTAGCTCTGGAGCCGAGAACAAACTGGCACACGCGTAGGTGAAGCTGGTTGCTCTCGGGTTCAGCAAGAGGCCAATCGTGAGGTACTCCACATTGGCGATGACCCCAAAACTCGACGTGGCCCCTAAAGAACGAGCAATCCGATAAGTCTCCTCCTTTGCAGATTTCATTTTGCCAGAAGAGCTCGACCCCGAATAAACCCACATTTCACCGTAATCCTCAGGGCGAGAACTTAGCTGCAGCGCCCTATGACCGAAGAGTTATCCAAGGACCAAATCATAGCTCAAGTGAATGTACTCCACATAAAATCTAGACTTACCCTGCAGCCCCGAAATGTTAGAAGACACCATGGGACTAAGGACCTGGCGAGCAGTACCCGCCTCTTCGGCAGAAGCTAGCCTTGCCTTTTTCACGTCGGTCTCCTTCGAGGGCTCGCTGGCCTTGCGCAAATTCTTCTTTGCCTTCTTGGTAAAAAGGTTGCCGATGGACATAGTATCCGTAAGACCGATGGCGTCGTTCACATCAGTGACCCTGGCTTTACCGACCATCCCATCAAAGATCAAAGATGCCTAAAACACCAAAGGCAACATCGCATTAGCGAACAGATAAAACAAGAACGAACTATGAAACAAAAGGACAACCAACAACAACAACAACGAGAATATACAAAAAACATAACACTACCATTTCGGTCCAGACTTGCCCAAATCGGTGGGTCTATCTCATCATGACCTTTTTGCTTTTTCCCACCTTGCCGGCAATCTCTCTTCCAATCCGCACATCGGCAGGCTCTGTGGGACCACGTCCTTGGTCACTAAGCTTTCGCTTACGGGACTCCATTGCAGCAGTGTTCGTCCCACATCCAGCCGTCATCTTTCGTGCCCTGCCTCTTTGCCCTTGGGCCCCACGACCATGGCCTCAGGGGGGCAGCGTCGTCAGCTGGAAGACTGGTTGAAGGGCTGGACCAGTCAGCATAACAAAGACCCATCGCTTTGAAGATGCGTTTCAATCGGCTCTTCCTTGCCAAGGACTAGCACCGACCCTTTTGCTCCCTACCACCATAAAATCCAATGATTTCTTCAGCCTTGTGTTCTATCAAGTTCACAAAGCTAAAATAAGTGGTAAACGCATCCGATGGTGCGACGACGAGATGCAAAAAGACATATCTGTCCCTTTGCTCTATGTCAGAAAACCGAGTCTCGCTGCTCAATGGAGGGCTATCGCAAGCTATCTATTCCTCAATCAAATCCTAGCTAATTTGCTAGCACGATGTCAGGGCGAAGGTGTCTATAGCTTCGGTATCACGTGGCCCATCAGCCCGAATCTTGGCCAAGCAAAATCCCTCCATTGGCATCATCTCCGAGACAAGTATATGTGCTTTCAGTAGTCCTTTGGTTAAAGCCTCAACCACATCCTCATCGGAATACACGCGGTGGTAAAACAAGTAGTCGGTCCACCATGGCCATTTATTCCGGTAAGCTGGCATGATTTGCACAGTGCCTTTCGTCTTCTTCGGGACAAAGTTATAGGACCCATAGTGGGCCACCATCTCGATCTTGGTCTGCTTGTCCTTGATTGTCTTCTTGTGAAAATGAATCTTGTAGTAGTGAGTGAACGAGTTCACGCTCAAGGTGCACCCACACATCTTGAGTGCCATGGCGAACACGCTGAACCGTGCAAAAGCATTAGGAGTCAGGTGATGGATCTATAGGTTGAAACGCTGCAAAATCTCACCCACAAAATCTTCATAGGGAAACTGTAGCCCAGCTTTGATGAAATCGCAGAAGAGAACCGCCTCGTAGGGCTCTAGGTGGGAGACCTCTTCTCGGCCTAGAGCATAGCACAAGCTGTGAAGTGAAGGTTTCAGACTACCTTGCTCGACATACTTATTGAGCTCCGCTTATGTGACACGAGAGCGGCCCAAGCGTTAAGTAACTAGAGTCAGATTTGGTTGGCCCTGAACGGCGGTGGGCACTGGCCCTACAATTTTGCCCTCCTCACCTTCCTCCACAATCTCCACATCGGTATCAGTCCCCTCACTAGAGTCATTACACGAAGGGCCTGGGCCACCTGCACCAAGTCCCTCCCGTGCTAGGTTACTGCCCTGCGCATTCGACGAATGGGCCATATTGCGCTCAGACCTGCTTTGCGAATTGGTGCGAGATTCTAAACTAGAAGTGTCAGATGAGCTCCCACTGGACGAGCTGCCGCTAGGCGATGACTCACTCAACATCTATCCAAGCGAGTTACATACGAAAAACCCAACAAAAACAAAAAATAGTAAAGAGGCGAAAAGGGCCACAACAATAAAATAAGACAAATGCACAAAAAGGAAGTAAAGGCAAGTACCACAAAATGAATACAAACCTACAAAAAAGCTCAGCGAAGGCTGGAGTCTTGGCAAAAGCGACCAAGGAAGCGAAAACCCAAGCGAGAAGCCAAAGAGCGATGGCCCGGTTCTCAATTGGGGGCTAAAGATAAGATGAGCGTGCATGGCTCTCCTGGCTCAGAGGGGTTTATATAGGCACCTGTCGGGCCTAGCGCGCGAATCGAGGAAACAATGCGACGGTTTGCTTAACCGCCAAGATGGTTTGAATTTTGAGAAACAGTTGCATGGCGTGATAATCGAAAAACTGCTACACACTATTCCAAAAAAATATTAATTAATTAATTTTATTACAATAATAACAGTAATAAAACAAAAACAAAATACATACATATATACATACATAGCAACAACATAGACCTCCACCCTTCGCCTAGGACGGCGTACGAGCCCCACTACGCGATGGGCCCATAAATTCATGAGGCAAACGTGCTCGAATCGAGAAACTCCTCACGCATTTTCTGAGGGGCCAATGTTGGGGGCGTGCCCCGCCTCTGGGCACCCTGTGTGGCTCAATCGCCATCCTAGTTTCATGCGGAAGCGAAATAACGGGAGTTGGGCCCTTGCGCGCTCAACATTTCGATATAATAAAAGGTGAGAGGGCTGGCCACACCTAAAGAGAAGGATGAGTCGAGCTCCCTCCTCGCCGCAGCGAAGTAAGGGCGGCGCTTGCCATCCCATTCTTGGAATTCCCTTTTCGCTATGGCAAAAGGGTGGGCTCAGCGGCCGAGACCAGGTCGCGCCGAGTTCTTTACCTTTCGCCCAGAAGATGAGCTCGCTAACAGTCTCGGTTATTCGCTCTAGCGAATAGCTATTAACAATTTGGTCAATCATTTCTACAGGTTTCTCCAAAGGAGGGTGCACAATTGGTCTCGGCTATTAGCTTGGACAAATAGGTGTTAATGTTTGGTCAATCGTTCCTATAGGTTTTGCCAAAGGAGGGCGCGCAGTCGGTCTCGGCTATTCGCTCGGGCGAATAGCTGTTAACGGTTCGGTCGATCATTTCTGTAGGTTTCATGAAAGAAGGAGCCACCCGCCTTCACATGGCCAACAACTTCTGTCACTGCCTCTCCCCCAGTCGGTTGGACAGCCGACATAAGGTGGAGCTAGTCGGGCATCACTGGGTCAGCGTTATCCAAGGAAGGCGGGTACTCCAAATGGCGAACAAGCCCAAAGCTGTGGGGAATATTCCCCAAATTTGTAGTAGTTGAGAGGGCATTTTATGTCCTATGAAAGGCCTACATGCATGTATAAATAGCCCCCATTGAGGGGATGTAAAGGAGAGAAAGAAATTAATGAAATCGTTCATTTTGTTTGGCTCGAGTCTCGCTTTACCCACTTCTCGTGCTTGATTTCGCTTGTGTGGCAACCGGTGTTCGATGGCCTTGGCCTAGAATAGGTCCACCTTGATGGTTTCCTGATTAAATCCTCCTGCATTAACAGATTCACCAAAACTCATAGAATTTATTAGTTTAAAACCCTATCCCTATGTTTCGTGGGAATTAAGTATATATATAAGATATGTTGATGGTTTATGATTGATGTTAGTGACCATCAACAAGCTCCCCAAAGCTTACCCTTTGCTAGTCTCTGAGCAAAGCTAAACTCAGCAATGGATCAGGGGTTGCTATGATGTTTTCACGCCTCAAAAGTACACATGCGTTCAATAAAAAATTCTCCTCCGGATTAAAATAAACTGACCTGACTTTCAAACTTACCCATATTACCTTCAACCATGGGGCTTCTTAGCCTTCTCTTAGGTATTGAGCAATTGAAAGACAGAACGATCAAGCCAAGCACTATGTCTCAAGTCTTTGTTCCACCATTGTTTCGGAGTTTTTATAAGTTTTAAAACAAAACTCAGAGATTCCATTGTATGACACTCTTATGTCTCTCAATATATGTGGTATTTATGGATCCTCACCAAGGCAATAAAGATGTTATGCCTTTTGTCTTCCTATCACTAAGGTAATAAAGTTGTTATGTGGAGTCTCTGTGGTAAAATATAAATAACGATACCTGGAATATGCTCGGGTGAAGTACTACAATGGTATAATTATCTGTGCGCCTGTAGATTCCTTTTCATTCATATATCTTAATATTCTTTCTAGTCACATAAAATGATAAAGAACTACTTAGGATCATTCTAGTAGTGATGCTAGGTAGTACCAACAAGCATCTCTGGCACCATCACTAGGGATGACAACCTAGTAAAATAATGTTAGGAGATGTAGGTAATTAATAGGTGGTTACTAAAACAAGTGACATGTTAATAAATACAAACAAGCATTCTAGTGCCATTGCCAAGGAAGGTAGCTAGCAAAGGAAGTATTGATAAACTTATACTTATTGATATGATCAAGATAACCATTGACCCCTGCTCAAGTAGGATTACCCTTATTTTGTCTACTTGTGTATCTTATGTAGGGTAATTACTGATCAGTTTTAACCTTCTGACAAACTACGTTGAAGATCCCAAAGCATTAATCAGGAGAACTAGAGCCAAACACAAGAAAGTCCTAGATTCAGAATCGGAAGACAACCAGATAAGGTGAAGCTTAACACTAGAATTTGAAGCCATGGCTAACAAGACTATTCATGAATTCTATGCTCCAACCACTGCCAACATCCATACTGGACCTAATGTCAATGTTGGAGACAATGGATTCGAGCTCAAGCTAGCTCTCATCAACATGGTGAAAGCTAGCCAGTTTTGTGGAAAGGCACATGAAGATGCTAGTGCATATCTCCAACACTTTATGGAGATCTGTAGCACTTTCACCATCAAAGGAGTAACCAAGGACGCAATACTACTTCGCCTCTTCCCATTCTCACTTTTGGGGAAGGTGAAGCAGTGGTTCTACGCCAATAAAGATAGAAATACTACATGGGATAACTGCTCCACTGCCTTTCTAGCAAAGTTCTTTCCCACGGATAAGACCAATGCACTGCGTGGAAGAATTTCATGTTTTCAGCAACAACATGACGAATCTATCCCTGAGGCATGGGAACGCTTTCAAGATTACATATCAGAATGTCCTCATCATGGGATGGAAAATTGGCTACTCATGTAGACCTACTACCATGGGTTGACCAATAGTACCCGTGAGACTATGGATACTACTGCTGGAGGTGCATTTCTGTCACTCACGCTTCCAGCTACAACAGCTCTTATAGAGAAGATGTCCTCTAACCAAGGTTGAAATGAAGAATGAGTTCAGACCCGCAAGAGGGGTGGAGGTATGCATCAACTCAAGGAGGTAGATATGTTGTCTACCAAGATGGACCTATTGATGAAGAAGCTCAAAGACCGAGCTAATGCGAAGAAAGAAGTCATGCACATTCATGATTCCCGCATGACATGTGAAGAGTGTGGAAACACTAGGCATTCAGGGAACAACTGCCCTAAGACCCATGAGGATGTGAACTTTGTCAACAACTACTATCGTCCTCAACAAAATCAAGGATGGAACCAGCAACAGATGCCAAACTACCAAAGTAACTACCAAGGTAACCCTCAAGGTAACAATTATAATAACTTCAATCAACCATCCTTGAGAGAATTAATTGCTAGACAACCTAGACTCATGGAAGAATTATCTAAGAAAGTAGCTACCAATGATAAAATTCTAGAAAATATAAGTAATAGAATGGATAGCTTTGTTTCTGCCATTAAGAACCAGCATAGCTTTAATAAAATGATAGAATCACAAATAGCTCAGCTGGCGGCTGTTGTTCCTCTGTCCGATAAAGGTAAGATTCTGGGGCAACCAGAAGATCTAGAAACTGCAAATCTTGTCGATATTCACAATGTAGCTTACTACTACATGGAATCATCGACGGGAAGGTGGCTAGATTATTCCCTACCTGACAAGAAGAGCGACCCGGGGAGACCTATCATCCGCATCGCCATTGGACCTCACATCTTCCAAGAAGCTGTCTGTGACTTCGAAGCAAGTGTCAACATCATGCCTAAGGTAATTTATGAGAAAATCCTAGGAGATCCTTTGTTGTACACAAATATGCATTTGCAGCTTGTAGATCAGTCACTCTGCTACCCCAAGGGAGTTCTTAAAGATGACATTAATCGAGTGGGACAATCATATGTTCCTATAGACTTTGTGGTTTTGGAAATAGGTGGAGATGAAAGGGCACCCATCATCTTGGGCCGACCTTTCCTAAGCATAGCAAAGGCCATCATCTATGCGGACAGTGCAAAGACCTGCTTCATAATCAAGGATAGAAAGGAGAAGTTTTATTTCAAGAATCGC